CCTCTCCAGAATCCTACCAGTCACCGGTTGCCATCCTGAAAAAGTCCCCTTTATTCCTACTCTCTGCCTACTGCCAGTCAGTCAATTCTCTATCCATACCAGTACTTTGCCTATCAGTCCCCTTTTACCATGCATTTCCAAGTACTCTGTAATCTCATCCTTAACAATGGACTCTAAAATCTTACCAATGACTGAGGTCAAGCTAACCAGCTTATCATCTCCTGTTTTTTGCCTCCCTCCTTTCTTAAACAGGGGTGTTACATTAGCCATTTTCCAGTCCTCTGGATCCCTCCTTGATTCCTGTTATTCCTGAAAGATCACCACCAATGCCTCCACAATCTCCTCAGCTATCTCCTTCAGAACTCTGAGGTATAGTCCATTTGGTCTGGGTAATTTATCCACCTTCTCCCTCGTGAATGTGCCACCACACTCACCTCTGCTTCCTGACTTTTTTGAAGTTCTGGTATGCTGCTAGTATCTTCCACTGTGAAAACTGATGCAAAGTACCTGTTCAGTTCTTCTGCCATTCCTTTGTTCTCCATTACTACTTCTCCAGACTCATTTTCCAGCAGTCCAATATGCACTCTTGCCTCTGTCTTACATTTTAGATATCTAAAAAGACTCTTACAATCTTCTTTTGTATTACTAGCTAGCTAACTGTTGTATTTCATCTTTTTTTTTAATCATCCTCTGCTGCTTTTTAAAGGCTTCCCACTAATCTTCCTCACATTGTTTGCTTTTTCTTTTGCTTTTATGCTGTCCCTGACTTCCCTTGTCAGGCATTGTTGCCTCATCCTCCCCTTAGTATGCTTCTTCTTTTTTGGGATGAGTTTCTGTATGCCTCCCAAATTACCCCCAGAAACTTCTGCCATTGCTGCTCCACCGTCTTCCTTGCCACATTTCCCTTCCAATCAAATCTGGCCAGGTCCTCCCTCAGGGGTACAAAGCATTGAAAGACCTTCCCCTAATTCTCTTCGACTCCAGTTCTGCTAGGGCTCCTTGATGCTATGCTCAGTCAAATGCTGTCAAATACTGTCACTCTCATCTCAATTCTGCAGTTCAGCTCTTTTATCCACATTTGGACCAGGTCTATAATGAGGTCAAGAGCTAAGACTGCCTGATGGAATCCAAACTGAGCAGGTTATTCCTTTGCAAATGCCACTTTAAGCACTATTGGTAATGCTTGTCATCACTTTGCTGACTAGAGAGTAGACCGATGAAGCAATAATTGGCTGAGGTTAACTTCTACTAATATCTGTGCTCAGGATGAGTATTTTCTACGTTGCTGGCAGATGCCAGTGTTGTAGCTGTACTGACTAGGGGTATGGCAAAGTTCTGTTACGTGTCTTCAGCACTATTGCTGGAATATCATCACAGACCATTTGCATGTATTTTCATGCCATTTCATGACATCACTTGGAGTGAAACAAATTGTCTGAATCCTGTCATCTGTGATGATTGGTTCCTCAGGAGGAGGCCAAGAGAGATCCTCAATTCAGCATTTCTGCCTGAAGATAGTTGCAATTGCTTCAGGCTTTAGGAGACCAGTTAGGAAGAATGTGAAGATATTGAGGAAGATGCAGAAAAGATGAAAGAGGATGAGGACTTGTGTGTGTATATATATAGAACATAGAACATAGAACATAGAACATTACAGCGCAGTACAGGCCCTTCGGCCCTCGATGTTGTGCCGACCTGTGAAACCAATCTGAAGCCCATCTAACCTAAACTATTCCATTATCATCCATATGTTTATCCAATGACCATTTAAATGCCCTTAAAGTGGGCGAGTCTACTATTTTTGCAGGCAGGGCATTCCACGCCCTTACTACTCTCTGAGTAAAGAACCTACCTCTGACATCTGTCCTATATCTATCACCCCTCAACTTAAAGCTATGTCCCCTCGTGCTAGCCATCACCATCCGAGGAAAAAGGGTCCCACTGTCCACCCTATCTAATCCTCTGACCATCTTGTATGTCTCTATCAAGTCACCTCTTAACCTTCTTCTCTCTAATGAAAACAGCCTCAAGACCCTCAGCCTTTCCTCATAAGACCTTCCCTCCATACCAGGCAACATCCTGGTAAATCTCCTCTGCACCCTTTCCAATGCTTCCACATTCTTCCTATAATGCGGTGACCAGAATTGTACGCAATACTCCAAGTGCGGCCGCACCAGAGTTTTGTACAGCTGCAACATGACCTCATGGCTCCGAAACTGAATCCCTCTACCAATAAAACCTAACATACCGTACGCCTTCTTAACAACGCTATCAACCTGGGTGGCAACTTTCAGTGATCTATGCACATGGACACCGAGATCTCTCTGATCATCCACACTACCAAGAATCTTACCATTAGCCCAGTACTCTGTATTCCTGTTACTCCTTCCAAAGTGAATCACCTCACACTTTTCCGCATTAAACTCCATTTGCCACCTCTCAGCCCAGCTCTGCAGCTTATCTATGTCCCTCTGTAACCTGCAACCTCCTTCCGCACTATCCACAACTCCACCGACTTTGGTGTCATCCGCAAATTTACTAACCCATCCTTCTATGCCCTCATCCAGGTCATTTATAAAAATGACAAACAGCAGTGGCCCCAAAACAGATCCTTGAGGTACACCACTAGTAACTGAACTCCAGGATGAACATTTCCCATCAACCACCACCCTCTGTCTTCTTACAGCTAGCCAATTTCTGATCCAAACCGCTAAATCACCCTCAATCCCATGCCTCCGTATTTTCTGCAATAGCCTACCATGGGGAACCTTATCAAACACTTTACTGAAATCCATATACACCACATCAACCGCTTTACCCTCATCCACCTGTTTGGTCACCTTCTCAAAAAACTCAATAAGGTTTGTGAGGCACGACCTACCCTTCACAAAACCGTGTTGACTATCCCTAATCAAATTATTCCTTTCTGGATGATTATAAATCCTATCTCTTATAATCCTTTCCAACACTTTACCCACAACTGAAGTAAGGCTCACTGGTCTATAATTACCAGGGTTGTCTCTACTCCCCTTCTTGAACAAGGGGACATTTGCTAGTCTCCAGTCTTCTGGCACTATTCCTGAAGACAATGACGACATAAAGATCAAAGCCAAAGGCTCTGCAATCTCCTCTCTAGCTTCCCAGAGAATCCTAGGACAAATCCCATCCGGCCCAGGGGACTTATCTATTTTCACACCTTCCAGAATTGCTAACACCTCCTCCTTATGAACCTCAATCCCGTCTAGTCTAATAGACTGTATCTCAGTATTCTCCTCGACTACATTGTCTTTTTCCTGCGTGAATACTGACGAAAAATATTCATTTAGCACCTCTCCTATCTCTTCGGATTCCACGCACAACTTCGCACTACTGTCCTTGACCGGCCCCAATCTTACTCTAGTCATTCTTTTATTCCTGACATACCTATAGAAAGCTTTAGGGTTTTCCTTGATCCTACCTGCTAAAGACTTCTCATGTCCCCTCCTGGCTCTTCTTAGCTCTCTCTTTAGGTCCTTCCTGGCTAACTTGTAACTCTCAAGCGCCCTCACTGAGCCTTCACGCCTCATCTCTACATAAGCCTCCTTCTTCCTCTTGACAAGAAATTCAACTTCTTTAGTAAACCACGGTTCCCTCGCTCGACCACTTCCTCCCTGCCTGACAGGTACATACTTCTCAAGGACACGCAGTAGCTGTTCCTTGAACAAGCTCCACATTTCAATTGTGCCCAGCCCCTGCAGTTTCCTTCTCCATCCTATGCATCCTAAATCTTGCCTCATCGCCTCATAGTTGCCTTTCCCCCAGCTATAACTCTTGCCCTGCTTTATATACCGATCCCTTTCCATCGCTAAAGTAAACGTAACCGAATTGTGGTCACTATCACCAAAGTGCTCTCCTACCTCCAAATCTAACACCTGGCCTGGTTCATTACCCAGTACCAAATCCAATGTGGCCTCGCCTCTTGTTGGCCTATCTGCATACTGTGTCAGGAAACCCTCCTGCACACATTGGACAAAAACTGACCCATCTGAAGTACTCAAACTATAGCGTTTCCAGTCTATATATATATATATATATACATACACACATATATACAGATTGAAGAAGCTGGGACTGTTCTCCTTGTAGGAGATTGCGAGAACATTTCATCAAGGCATTCAAAATCAGTGGTCTAGCAGAATAGACGAGGCATAACTATTCTAATTGATGGAAGGAAGAAAAACCAGATCACACAGATTTTAGGTAATTGTTAAAAGAAGGAATGGCAACATGAAGAAAACCATCTTTCCACAATGAATAGTTAGGACCTGGAATGCACTGCCCGAGTTTCATGAAGGCAAATTCAATTGAGTTTCAAAATGGATTTTTTCATTAGCTAAGACAGAAAACAAAATGCTGCAGTATGTTGGAAAAACAGGGAAAAGACAGGTGTATTACTCGTGGTGGAGACCAGCACAGACACAATGGGTTAATGGTCCTTTTCTGTGCTGTACCCATTCTGATTCTACGACTGTTGGGAGTTATGAGGAAATCTTGAGTGTTATTGAGGTCAGTTATTACCAAACTTTGCCTCCCCCACCCGAAAATCTCCTTTACCTCTGCTTTCCCCTTTTGTCTTATCCAGAGGTAGCCCTGTTACTTCTCCGAACTATAGATACAACAGCTGCTGACACAAAAATCAGGAACAATCAGGTACCTAATCTTATTCGGGTAAATGAAAATAAAACGGGCAAAGTCCACTCGACTTGTTGTCACGCGGTGAAGACTCCAGAAATTTCCCCGGGTAACAACAACAAAATGCTGGGAGGAATATTGCTCCTTTGACCCTTTGAGGGTGTAAACTGTTATTAACGACATTTTATTCAATAGTGCATAAATAGTTTCACACATTAGAAACTAGGTTAGAACAAAATATACCTATCGAAGTTCCAAAGAGCTGACCCTTTCCGGTCCGTTAAGACGACGGACTGCCTCAGCCAATCAGGTGAAGGATGACGGAGGAGGCGGCCTGCGTGTCGGGCGAACGCACATGCACGTTACCGAACGGACAGCCGGCTCTAGTTGAATACGAATGCGTGTTTTCCGTCCGGCGCCGTTACACGTGCGCTGCGGATGCGCACTGCTGGCGCATGGCCGGCCCCTGTTGAACGCGTTTGCGTGTTGATGGCCTGAAGCGAAAAAGCGGTTTGAGGGGCGCCGGGCTTGGGCCTAGCGCCGTCACCTGGGCAACCGGCCTCACAGCCAGCCCGGCGACACCTGAAACACAGCACTCTCGTGGCGGCCGTCAGGATGGCGGCTTCGGGGCCAACGAAAATCACCTGGAAGCTGCGTGAGTTTGACAGCAATACAGATATATATATACACACACACAAATAAACTGGTGAAGAATGGAGTGAAAGACACTAAAAAGGAGGGACAGAAAACAACGCAAATTGAGGGAGAGAAACACTGACGGGGGGTGGGGATGGAGGAGGGAAAGGCCACGTGGTGATGGGGGGGTGGGTAACGAGCCAACTGGGGGAGATGGACAGGGAAACTCAAATGGAAAGAGGGAGGGAGACAAGAAGAACACTCAAATTGACAGAAAAGAGGGAAACAAACTTGGGTAGGAGACGGGAGAGAGAGGAAAAAAACATTAAACGGGGGAGAAGAGAAAGAGAAACATAATCTGGGGGAGGAGAGAGAAAGAAACGTAAAGTGGGTCGGGGTAGGAGAGAGAGAAACGTAAATTGTTGGGGAGAAGAGAGAGGGAGAACCGTTAACTGGGATGGGGGGTGGGGTGGAGGGTGAAGAAGAGAGACAGAGGGAGAATCATAAACTGAAGGTGGGGGGAGGGAGAGAGAGAACTGCAAACTGGAGGGGGTGGGGGGGAGAAAGAGAGAGAACCATAAACTGGAAGGGGGTGGAGTGGGGGAGAACAGAGAGAGAGAGAGGGAGAACCGTAAACTCGGGGGAGTGGGGGAGAACAGAGAGAGGGAGAACCGTAAACTTGGGGTGGGGGAGAACAGAGAGAGGGAGAGGGAGAACCGGGGGGGGGGGGGAGTGGGGGAGAACAGAGAGAGGAATAATCGTAAACAGGGAAAGAACAGAGAGGGAGAACGGTAACTTGGTTTGAGGTGGAAGAGGGGGGAGAGAGAGAGAGAACCGTAAATTGGGGAGGTGGTGTTGGGGTTCCTTCTCCGCTATTTGTGATTTACAGCGTCTGCAGTTTTTTTTAGGTTTTTCTGTGTAAAACAAATCCCCTAAGCAAGAGAGAGATAAACAAGCTGGGTCATGGGAGGGAAGAAAGAGATAACAGCGTAAACTGGGAGAAATGAAGGAGAATGCATAATATGTGAGTGGAAGAGAGGGCAGAAGTGAAGAAGGTAAATGTAACAAGTGCAAATGGTGTCAGGGTGAAACAGAAAAGTTGGAAGACGAGGGAGGAGCCTTGGAACTAGGTTGGAAATGAGGGAGAGATGAAAGGAATGCCAAATAGGTTGATGGAAACAGGAGGCACAGACTCGGGCCTATGGGCATTAGGGAGCAAAATAGAATTATAGAACTTTATGGTATATTAGCAGTCCATGCTGTTGAAAAAAAGTTATCCAGTCAGATGGTTGTTTGAAGAGCAATAGCATACAAGGCCAAGTGCTGCAAAATCAGACTAGATACATGTTTGATGATCAGCATGGATATGATGTGCCGCTGGGCCTCTTTAAGTGCTGAAAAACTCTGTTTCAAATCTATCTGCATGATTTTGGTCCAGAGACTTGTAGATTACAGCATTTCCAGTACATACACGTGTAGGTGTCTTTTTTCCCTTTAACATTCTTGAAGGTGATGAGCACCAGACCCTTGCCATCCTCTGAGTGAAAACAAGTTTTTCTTAAAACTCCTCACTGTTGCCACAGATTACTTCAGTTTTTGCCCTGTGGCTATTGACCTCTTTGCTAACGGAAACAGATTCTTGCTACCCATTCTGTCTCATCCCTTCATAATTTTATATCCCTTAATTATAACTCTCCTCAACCTCCTGTCACCTAGAAAACATCCCAGGCTATCCAGTCTTTTCTCATCATGAAAATTTTGCCAGTTTTGGTAACATCCTTGAAAATCTGCTTGGTACCCACTCCAGTAATATTGAATTCTTCTCGTAATATGGTGACCAGAACTGTACACAGCATTTTAGCTGTCATCTAACTAGTACAAGCTTAACCTCCTTGCTATTATATTCTATACCTCAGCTAATACAAAAAAAATCTTGGATACACTTTTAACCACCTCAGCTATCTTGTTACCTTCAAAGATCTGTGGGTATGCACCCCCATGTTACTCTGCTTTCTATTCTATTCTGACACTTTTGGTGTATTCCTTTGCCTCATTTACATTCCCCACATTACATTTCACATCTCAAAGATTAGATTCCATCTACCATTTTTCCGCTCACCTGCTTAGTTCACTGATGTCTTCCTGTTGTCTTCAGCTCCCTAAAATTGTGCTATCTGCAAACTCTTTAATTATACCTTCCTCATTTAAGTCTACATCATTACCATGAGATAAAGGCAAGAGTACTGAGCCCTACAGAACCCCCAGTGAAAACAGCCTACCAGTCTTAAAATCCCAATCATTGCATTTCACTTTTCACTACTGGGGCAATTTTTCTTGGATCACATTGGCTTTTTCTTTGCTACCTTGTCAAAACCCTTGCTAGAATCCATAGAAGGAGATAAAACTGGGGGCAGTGGGTGGGAGAGTGGAATTGCCAATATTCTGGCATTCATGATAGTGAGGTCCTCAGGAGGAAGTCATGTAGGGCACATCTTGTTGAAAAATGTTAGGGTATATCAGTCTTGTCTTTTGGACAGGTGTTGAACTTTGCCATTATTAAAGATGAAGTTGTTCATGGAGCCTTCCCCCTCATTCTGTTGTTTAATGTGCCATAACCATTTTTGACTGGATGTAATGGCACTGCTGATTTTGATTTTGATCCTGTTGATCCTATGAACTCCGCCAGCATTTCAGTTCTCACCATAGAGTTATTCAGCACAGAAACAGAACCCTTCGTCCGCATCGACCAGACAGTCCTATCTGGCCTAGTCCCGTTTACCAGCATTTGGTCAATATCCCTCTAAACCCTTACTATTCATATATCTGTCCAGATGAATTTTAAATATTATAATTGTGCCTGCCTCCACCACTTCCTCTGGCAGCTTGTTCCATTCTCGCAGCACCCTCTGCATAAAAAGGTTACTCCTCAGGTCTTTTTTTAGATCCTTCCCCTGTCACTTTAAACCAATGTCCTCTAGTTTTGGACTCCCCCACCCTAGGAGAACAACGTTGTCTATTCACCCTATCATGTCTCTCATGATTTTATAAACTTCTATAAGGTCACACTTCAGCTTCCGATGCTCCAGGGAAAAAATAATCCCAGCCAATTCAACATCTCCCTATAACTCAAACCTTCCAGTTCTGGCAACATCCTTGTCAATCTTTTCTGCACCCTCTCAAGTTTAACAACATACCAATCCTGTATGAATCTCCCAACAGATGTCTTTTCACTTGTGATCAGGGCCCTTTGTCATTCCTGAGACTATTTTGGATAATTGCATTGACATCATGGTCTTATTGGAAATGTGGCGAAAGGTAATTACCCCTACTGAAGCTCTTGCATTGGTCTACACCTTCCACTACTTGTCCTGCCAAAATAGTCATGGTGGCACTGCGATGCTGACCACATTGTTCTGGCCCAATGCTCCTCCAGAGCCTTCTACGCCTTTGAGCATTTTGCCTTTTTCCATTCCTATCACTTCTTCAAGATTCTTGTTCTCTATTGTACTTCTAAGTACAATAGAAAATGTTATAATCAAGATTTGTTCTTTCACTTCTTGCATCCCTCAGCTCCCAAATGACTTGTCATCCTTGGTGATTTCAACCTCCAACTCAATCCTTCATGTTCTCTCTTCTCTTGAGTTTATTGCCTTTCTATTTTCCTTAAATCTGTTATAGAGTTATGAAGGTCTACAGCATAGCAAAGGCCCATCTGTCCATTGAGTCTGCACTGGTTTAAAAAAAATGCCTAGTTAATGTAAGACAACACTGTGGAACTGGAGGAACACAGCAGGGCAGGCAGAAGAAGGGTCCTGACCCGAAACATCATCTTTCCTGCTCCTCTGATGCTGCCTGCCCTGCTGTGTTCCTCCAGCTCCACACTATTGTTGTCTCTGACTCCAGCATCTGCGCTTCTTGCTATCACCTAGTTATTCTAATCTCATTTTCCGGCACGTGGCCCATAGCTTTATATGCCTTGGCATCTCAAGTACACATCTAAATACTTCTTAAATGTTATCAGTATTTCTGCCTCAATTTAAACTCCCTGACACTCATTTGCCTTTACCTTGCCATCGTATGTGGTCTTCCCACTCCCTTTGTATCATCTGCAGACAACACCATCTCTGATCATATTTTGTATTACCAACATTCCCCTTCTACGTTCCTTTTCTCAATCCTATTTGCACTAAAGTGCTGATTACCCACCTTGGGCTTAACTGATGTTGTAACTCTTTCTGTCTTTTTAGATGTGTCCATCTTTCTTTAAATATGCTTCCTCATAAAAACAATCCTCGGCCCCACCAGTCTTGCAAATTCCATCTCCAATCTCCATTTCAATTCCAAAGACCATAAATGTGTTGTCACTTTCCAAATCTGTTCCCACCTTTCTAGAACTCTATATTTGAATCCTTTCAAACTTTGTCACTGAAATAGTTTTTTGAGTCGTGAATGACACCTTATATGATTGTGATAAAGGTAAATTTTCCATTGTCCTTCTCAATCTGTTTGCAGCCGTTGATAGAGTTGACCATGCCAAATGAGGAAATAGGTATGGGGAAAGTAGAGGAAGGAAATGGGGGGGAAAACACAAAAAGGAATAAGAGGTAGGCTTGAGAGGAAGAAAACAACATGGAAAGGGTGAAAGAGGGAAAAGATGAGGAAGTTTAAAAAAGGAATACTTGAGGGTTTGGAAAAGAAAATTGGAAGACAAGAAAACAGATAGGAAATACAAGAGTGAGAGGAGGAAATAGCAGGAAAACAAGCCACCAAAGCAGGATTGGGAAGGAAAGTGTGAAGACCGGAGGGATAGGTATAATCAATGAAAGATACTTATAAAACATGCAGAGCAGAAAGAAGTATTCAGGATAAGGATCGGAAGCAATAAAATTATAGGGAAGAAAAGATGATTGGGAAAAGACAAAATATAGGAAGGAAGATAAAGAGAAAAACAGAGCAAAACAAACAAGATGGATGAGAGGAGTAGGGGAGAAAAGAAAGAGGGAGTAATATCTAAAGGCAGATTGACTAGGCGCTGGCTGGGCATTAGTGGATTTGCTAGAGGAAGATTTACGTAAATGTCCCCACCATACAAGATCTGATCGTGTTCCTCCTGTATTGATTGAAGTAGACTAGTGCTGGATTTTTAAAGGTTTACTTTAATTAACTTTGGTATGTTTAGTATAGACAACTAAGCCGGGCAGTTGGATATTTTTAATGACAAAATAATAACATTGGTAACTGTGAACAACAATCTTGGCAGATGTGTATCTTTCTTATTTTGAGCACAAATATTTTTGTAACTTTTAGCTGTTGAATCTGCATCCTATCTAACTCCTCTTTCTTTTGCATCTCCCTCACAGAGGAGTTTGTTGCTCATGCTGGTAATGTAACCTGTTTGGTGCTGGGGAAGAATTCAGGCAGACTATTGGCAACTGGTGGAGAGGACTGTCGGGTGAATTTGTGGTCAGTCAGTAAACCTAACTGTATTATGGTAAGTCAATGTATGCTGAAGAAGTGTTACCTGAAGCAGTGGTTGAATGTGAATTGGGCACCTTTGCTTCCTAGACAATAAGGGTATGAGCTCAGCCATACACTCAAATTCAGATGAAAGTTGCAGTTGTTGGCTAGGCCTCCCTATGATCATAGTTGACATACATCACTGTGCTAAAAACTGACTAGACTCTGCATCTGACTTGTTGGACCTTTGAGTTTTTGATATTCTCAATTACCCAAGTTGGACAAGTTGCAAATCTCTTTTTCATAACTGATTTTTGTCACAATTTTTGATGAGCCATTCAACACAGAAGAGGCTTGTTTAACAAAGCATTGAATTCTCAGATACATGTCATCTTAATTTTATATAGTGTGTGCTTAGTCGCAAGATTTAACAGTGAAATTGGATGACCACATAAAGTTCTAAATCTTCATCGCATACATGTGCTCTGGCAACTGACTGAACGGGATCATTTCTTATGGAATATAGCTGTAGAGTCCTAAATATTTATATACACAACAGCTGAAGCAAATTAGTTTTTATTTCAAATGTATCAATAACTGGATCTTTTAAGATATATTTTTCCCATCACAAAATAGTAGATATTTTGGGAAGCTTTTACGCAAACTGATTTTTCTTTTAGATAGTACCCAAGTTATCAAACTGGTGCCAGAAGCTTGATGACTATGTTAAAACTGATTAAACCCAAACTGAGTTTAAATGTCTGATGCAGTGGGGTTTTAAACTGTACCAATGTGGTAGCCATCCTTTCAGCCATACAATTCAATTTCTATGTTGTTGACTTGCTTGCCAAGCTGTTAAGTTTGTTTGCAGATGTTTCATCACCATTCTAGGTAGCATCATCAGTGCGCTTCCAGTGAAGCATCGGTGTTCTGTCCTGCTTGCTATTTATGTGTCTTGGTTTGCTGGGGTGGGTGGTATCACTTCCGGATTTGTTTCTTAGTGGTTGAAAATGGGGTTCAGCTCTAGGTGTTTATTAATGGACTTCCGGTTTGAGTGCCATGTGTCCAGGAATTCTTGTGCGTGTCTTTGCTTGGCTTGTCCTAGAATGGTTACATTGCCCCAGTCGAATTGGTATCCCTCTTTGTCCATGTGCATTGAAATGAATGATAATTGGTCATGTCTCTTGGTAGCTAGTTGGTGTTCGTGAATCCTGATGGCTAGTTTCCTTCTGGTTTGCCCTATGTAATGTTTTTGGCAGTCTTAGCATGGGATCTTGTAAATTATGTTGATTCTGTTAGTTGTAATTGTCGAATCATTTATTCTTGTCAGCTGTCATAGTGTCGCTGCCGGTTTGTGGTCTGCCATGATTCCTGGGGTCTGACATAATTTGGTGGTCATCTCAGATAGGTCCTTAATGTATGGTAGGGTGATAAGTATCTGGACGTATTGTGTTGTGGTCTGTTGCATAGGTATCGGCAGACTACGCTTTTCAGGTAACTGTTGTTTCTAAAGACGCTGTTTAGATGTTCTTCCTCGTCTTTGCACAGCTCCAGGGTGCTGCAGTGTGTTGTGGCTTGCTTGAACAGTGTTTTGATGCAGTTCCATTTGTGAGTATTGGGATGATTGCTATTGTAATTGAGCACCTGATCCGTATGGATGGTCTTCCTGTGTATGCTGGTCTGGAGCTTGCTGTTGGCTGTATATTCGACCATTATGTCCAGGAAGGGAAGCCTGTTGTTGTTCTCCTCTTCCCTGGTGAATCTTATGGCCAACAGTGAGCTTCAGACCAGCAATAGCAACTCCAATTAGAATCATCCCAATACCCACAAACGGAGCTGCATCAAAACACTGTTCAAGCAAACTGCAACATACTGCAGCACCCTGCACAAAGCCGAGGAAGAACACCTCTCCAGCGTCTTTAGAAATGACGATTACCCGAAAGTGTAGTCCGTTGATACCTACACAACAGACCACAACAAGAAGACACAGCATGCCCGGAGACACGAGTCACCCTACCATACATTAAAGATATATCTGAAATGATCACCAGATTACTCCGCCCCCAAGGAATCATGTTAGCCCACAAACCGACAGCTATGCTATGATAGCTACTGACAAGAATAAAGGATCTGACAACCACAACTAATACAATCAATGTTATTTACAAGATAGCATGCAAAGACTGCCAAAAACATTACATAGGACAAACCAGAAGGAAACTAGCCATTAGGATTCACAAACACCAACTAGCTACCAAGAGACATGACCAACTATCATTTATTTCAATGCACATGGACAAAGAGGGACGCCAATTCGACTGGGGCAATGTAACCATCCTAGGACAAGCCAAGGAAAGACACGCACAAGAATTCCTGGAGGCCTGGCACTCAAACCGGAACTCCATTAACAAACAAGTACAGCTGAACCCCATTTTCAACCTCTAAGAAACGAATCCGGAAGTGATGCCACCCACCCCAGCGAACCAAGACACACAAATAGCAAGTGGGACAGAACACTGACGCTTCACTGGAGGTGCACTGATGATGTTATCTAGTATGGTGACGAAACATCCGTGAACAAACTTACCAGCTTGGCAAGCAGGTCAACAATCGCATCAACAACCTGAGCTACAAATCTTCACAACCTTGAATTCAATTTCTATATTTGTCTTTATTCCAGTTTATGTACCTTCTATATGTGGCTTTAGCCTTGAATTTTCTTTTGCATCATAAAGTCAATGAAGTATTAATTTCAAAAATGTTTGTATAGAGTCTTACAGGTCACAACACACCAGTTGAGTGTATTCAGTTTAAAGATTCTGAGGAGTTGGTTGTTGCAGGCTCACAATCTGGATCACTAAGAATATGGGATTTGGAAGCAGCAAAGAGTAAGTACCCATTATTATAATAACTGTGTGTCCATTTTACCCTCCTGTCTTTGAATCACTTGAATTCTGCTTACTTACCCACTATCTTTATAAGGTAAACAAACTATTTGTCCCAACAGTCCTTGCTGATATTTATGCTCCACTTGAGCCTCCCATCAGCTCTCATCTAAATCTGCTGTTATAACCACCTAGTTCCTTCTGTCCCAAACAATTGCCTTGTATTCCTGCAAACGTCCCTGTATAGTTTATTTTTCAGGTAAAATTACGGTAACAAGGTCCATGTTCTTACCATCCTTTGAGTGACGTTTCTACTGAATTACTCAACGTTTTGGTGACTCTTCTATTGATGGTTTCATGTGAAATACTTCGCTACAAGAGGAAATTTTCTTTCTGTATTCAAAATCGTTTCATAATTTGAAGTACCTCTATTATGTCAAACCCTTAGCCACATTTTCACAAATGAAAATAACCCAGCCTATGGATCCTTTCCTGATGTTTAGGTCTTCTTCACTGGCACCTCTTAGATCAGTAATGCCAGGGAGCAATGTAGTAATGTTAATTCTGTTTTCTTGAAGTTCTTCGGACACTGTCGGGACACAAAGCCAACATCTGCAGTTTAGACTTCCATCCTTTTGGGGAGTTTGTGGCCTCTGGCTCTATGGACACCAATGTAAAGGTACAGTACAGGCCAGCAGAATATTACTAACGTATTGCAGACAAACATTTAGTATGTACTTTATAGGAATTGGAAAGACTATTTGTCCCAGTGAGTTTGTCTTTTTTTTTTTCTGATGTCTTGACAACAGCCTTCTCACCATATTCATTGTATCCCTCTAGAAACCTAATCATCTCTTGAATTTAGTTATGTTATTTTTGACAGTCAACCCAATATTTTGTTCGTCTCATCACCATTCGCTAAGAGGCAAATGAGATTGGCTAATTCTTTCCAATCTTAAAGGCTTCAGATGGATGATACATCAAATTCCAAGTTACTTCTGTTCTTTTAGTTGCTGCCTTTAAAAGTCGGTCTGTGGGGCAAAAAAAAATCAAACCTGAGGAATTAAGCAATCATCCACAGGCACATTAAAAATCCCTGAATTGTTACAGCACAGAAGGAGGTCATTCAGCCTGTCCTGTCAATGTGGGCTTTTTGACAGAACAATTCATAATTGATCTAATGGCTCCTTGGCCTGGATGTTCTTCCCTTCCATATAATAATCTAATGACCATTTTGAATGCCTTGATTTAACCTGTCTCCTCCATGCTCTTGGGCAGTGTATACCAAACCCTAACCACCCACTACATGGAAGTGTTTTTTCTCAATGCTTTTGTGTCCTTTGTCAGTTATTTAAAACCAAGGGGTCATAAAACTGCTGCTGAAATGATTACCCTTTTATCTATTGCTTATAAATTCTGTGTCTACTGACACCTGAAGAAGGAACAAGACTCTGAAAACTTGTGTCTTCAAATAAACTGTTGGACTATAACCTGGTGTCGTGTGATTTTTGACCTTATCCACCCCAGTCCAACACCAGCACCTCCACGTCATTTAAAAGTAGTATGTTGTTGAATTTGATTTTCCCTGTTAAACTGCATGACCTCTAACTTTCCTATATTAAACTCATCAGCCTAGTTTGTGCACACTCAATTAATCTATATCCCCTATATCCTTTTGACCTCATCACAACATGGGCTCCTACTAATGTTGTGTCGTCAGCAAATGTGGATACTTTACACTCACTCCCCTTCTCCATATCATTTAATATAGATAATAAATAATTGCTGTCTTAAGACTGATTGCTGTGACACTCTACTAGTTACATCTTTCCAACCTGACAATCACCTATTAATCCTGACTCTCTCTCTCGTGTGTTAACCAATCCTCAATCTATTAGAACACATTACTCCCAAAACTTTGAGATCCTAACTTGTGAAATGATCTTTTACATGGCTCTTTATTGAATGCCTTCTAAAAATCCAAATACATTACATCCACAGATTCCTCTTTATTAACTCTGATTGTTAGATCCTTAAAGAACTTTAGCAACTTTGTCAAAAATTATTTCCCTTTCAAAAACCATATTGATACTCTGTTTCATTGTGTTAAGCCTTTCTAAATATCCTGCTGTTCCTTTGTTAATAATGGACACTCGTATTTTCTTAACAGATGTTAGACAGGTCTATAGTTTCCTGCTTTCTGTCTCTTCCTCCTTGAACAGGGGTGTTACATTTGGAGTTCCTGTCTGCTGCAACCCTCCTGGAATCCAGTGAATTCTGAAATATTTTGATATCCAATGCATCTGTCATCTCAGCAGTCACCTTCTTTAAAATCCTTGAATTTGGGCCTGGCGACTTGTCTGTCTTCAGATCTTTTAGTTTGTCAAATTCTTGTCTTCTCGTGGTAGAGACTATTACGTAATCTTTCCTCCCATTAGCACCTGCCTCATTTATTATCTTTGGGGTGTTAATAGTGTCCTCCACTGTGAAGAATGATGCAAAATATTGATTGAAATTATCTGCTATTTCCCAGTTCATTGTCATCGATTCACCATTTGCATGCTCCAAGTGTCTCTCACTTACTTTAGCTGCTCTTTCTTTTTATACCATGGAAATGCTTGCTATTTGTTTTTATATTGCTTGCTATTTTGCTTTCATAATTAGTTTTCTCCATGTTATCATCATTTCAGTCATCTTTTGCTTGTTGCTTCAAAAAAAATCCCAAAATCTGGCCTACCACTTGTTTTGCAGGGGTGTTAAGTTTTAATTGGATACATTGACCATGGGTGATTCATCCTCCTTATTTAAGTCCTTTCTGACCAGACTAAATTTTTGGTGACCGTGATGAAATATCTGCTTAAATGTCTGCCACTGATCATTCAATGACTTTCCCTCTAGTTTTTCTCAACCCAGTTTAAACAACTCTTTCCTTATATCTCTGTAATTGTCCTTATCAAGCTGAGACATGAGTTGCTGTCCCTCAAACTGAATTTGAAATTCTGCTATATTGTGATTGCTACCCACTGGAGGATCCTGAACCATGAGACCTCATTACACATTACTAGATTTAAAATAGTCTTCCCCCAAGTAGGTTCTGCAAGATATTGCTCTAAGAAGCAATCACTGATGCACTCCAGAAATTTATCTTCCATGTCACCCATGCCCATCTAATTTGTCTAACATGCAGTTTTGAATCACCCATGACGATTTTAATCCACTCCTATGTGCATGCATTATTTTCTGATTTATACGTGGTCCCATAGTGAGCCAGTTCCTTGGGGACCTTTGCATGACTCCTACCGAAGCCTTGTTTCCCTTGTCATTCCTCATTTTTCACTCAGACTGATGACACATTTTTAAACCTATGTCACACACCCCACCACACTGCGCTCCTTTATTAATAAAGTTACCCACCTTCATTTCCTTTTTGTGTATTCATCTGGAATGTCAGATACTCTTGGATATTGAGTTCCCAGTCTTGGTCACCCTGTAACTATGCCTTGTAAGAGCTATCAAGTTGTATCACTTTATCTCTGTTTAGGCTGTCAGCTTGTGATTACAAATGCTGCATGCATTCAGATAGAGTCTTAAGCTTTGAGATTTCACCATTATTACTCGCTCTGATTCTAATTTCTGCTGTACTCTTGCGCATATGATTCCAACCCCTTTCTGTCTCACTTTGATTATCGTTAGCATCTTCACTACCCTTCACCTGCTATACTATATACTATGCACATGTAAGTAAAGGGTGACTTGGTGATGGGATACTAGCCTTCATGGGGTTATTTCAGTGGCAATAAGAGTGGGATCAAAGGTTCCCCGGCCCCTATGTCTGTACCGGAACTTCTTGGATTGGTGAATTATTGAGGGGCCATCATATGTAACCTGGTCAGCATCCTGGCACCCTAACATCTGCTACTGAAAAAGGGTCAGCCTTGGAAATGGTCTCATAGGCAAGATTTAGCCTTTAAGGAAGTGAAGAACCCGCTGTCGTCGTCTAAGGTATTGGCACATTATGATCTCAAGCAAGATGTAGTGCCTGACGTGCAATGGCACCTCATGGTTTTCGGGTGTTGTTGGCTCATTGGTAGCCTAGTAGAGAGGAATCCCTGATAAGGTCTGCTTCTTGGACTTTGGCTGATGCTGATGCCAAACAAAGATGCGCCCAGATAGAAAAAGAAAGTTTGATGGTCATCTTTGGTGTGAGAAAGTTCCACCAATACTTTTACAGGCATAAATTTGTAATAGTGATGGACCACAAACCCCTGCTAGGGTTACTCTAAGTGGGCAGGGCCGTGTCACCCATAGCCTTGGGTCGAATGTAGCGGTGGGCTCTCATTCCAAGTGTGTACAGTTACAAGTTAGAACACCGTCCAGGAGTCTAAGTGGTAAATGTAGATGCCTTGAGCTGCCGCCACTAGAAGAGTCCATTCTGGTTTTAACTTTTCTGGACACCCTTCCGGTCATTGCTAACAAAATCAGACTGTGGGCACAAACTAGAACAGCTGGTGGTGATGGAGGAAGCAAAAGGGCCATCACAACCAGAATTGAAACCTTTCTGGAGCTGGTGAGACCAGAGCACCATAGAAGGTGGCATTTTATTATGGGAAGCCAGAGTGATCGTCTGGAGCAAAAGCCACTGCCAGATACTGAGTGAGCTCCACCAGGATCATCCAGAGGTTTCCAAAATGAAGATGTTGGTGAGACATCCGGTGAGGTCCGGTGGCCAGGATTGGATGCTGACATAACTGCGTTGGTGGGGTGGTGCCAAGAGTGCCAACAAAGACAAAAATTGTCACCAGCAACTCACCCACATTCGTAGAAATGGCTGGCTAAATCCTGGACTTGGTTACATGTTGACTGTGCCAATCCCTTCATGGGCTTTATGTTTTTTGTCATTGTGGAATGGCATCAGGAACGCTAATATTGGACCCAAGACTCCTCTAAGTGAGAGAGGCAGTTTACTTCTGGCGACAAAGATTGGTGCTGAAACCACGGGAATGGCATGGGTAGGAGGCATAGTTGATGCGAGGTCAGGTTCCGTGACGTACAAAGTACAGGTAGGAGAGGCAGTTCTGAATAAACACGTGGACCATATGAAAGCTGAAACCTTTCAAACAGGGCAGGAGCAAAACATATCAGCCCCCTCAGAGCATCCAGCAAGACTGTCAGAACCTGTGGGTTCTCCCCCTCCACCTGGTGTCGAAGAAACCTCTGAGGAGACACAGACGTGGCAGATGTTGCAGCCTCAACGCCTTTACCACATGAAGATGATGATGAATTTTGGCCAAGACACTCCCAACGAAAGAGACAGGCTACGCTGCCAGTATCTGAGGCAAAGTTGGAGGAACAGGACCTGTGTGAAAACGCCCCAGGTGAAGCTATGGGAAGAATAATGGGCCTACGTCCCTAGACTTAGAGGGGGAGGGATGTAGTGATTGGAACAGGGTCAGCCAGGTGGACCTCACAGAATGAGTTCCCTGACTGGGACTGTTAACCTGTCCAATCAGGGAGTCCTGGCTGACAGATCTAAACCAAAATGTCAGGGGTTCTGCTCAATCCAGGAACTGGCTCTGAACTAACTGGATCACCTCCATGTACTATACACATGTAAATAAAGGCTGATTTTAGTGATGGTATACTGGTCTTCGTGGAGTTATTTCAGGAACAAAGCCTCTTATCTATTTGATAAGAGCATTGGCTGATGCTCCTCCAAAGTTAAATTCTGCATTCTCTTACCCGCTTCACACGCAGTCACATCTCCTGTTCCTGACCATGGACCAAATTTGATGTAATCATTCTAAGGAGTGTAATTACTTCCTGAAACACAGTGTGTAGGCACCATTGACCCTCATTATTGCAATGTTTGTCGCTCAGATTCCAGTCCACCAACTCTGAGGTGAAGCTCTTGGAGCAGTCAACACCTGGAGATGTGGTCATTCTGGATTGCCCTAGCATCCACAAGCTTCCACCTCCTACAGCTGTAACATATTGCCTGCTCAACCGTCTCTCTTCAACTCAGTTAATTAATTTGAGTGCTAAATATTTTAAAGGCGAATTTCTAAACTGTACTCTTAGCTATAATAATGTCTCCGATGTTGGCCAACTGAAAAATATGGAATAAATTTCCCCCAGTCATCTACCTGTTTTCCTGTGATGTCACACTTTGGCTCTTACAGGAAGAAGCAAGTTGAAGTGGTTCTCTGCTACTGATTTTTATATCCCTCTGTCACCGCCTTGTTCATGTAATTCCGCTGTTCTGTTTATGAATCTGCTGGCCTGCAGTCATTGTTTGAGAAGCTGATGACTCTACTGTGTCTCCTGTTCTTAGTGAAGCTGCTGTCCTTGCTCTTGCACACTTTGTGATGCTGCTGCCTTGCCGTCACTCGTGTTGTTTCAGAAGCACAATCTTCTCTGCACTCATTTTGCTTCACAGTGATGCTGACTAACTGTATAGTCTTCCCAGTTTGTCAATGTGCTTTTGAAGTTTTTCACCATCTTCCACACAGTTTACAATGCTTTTATGTTTTGTATCATCTGTAAGGTCTAGGTAATTAACATATGTTGGGTAGGGTACCAACAGTGATGCTGGGGAACTCCACTATAAATCTTCCTCAAGCCTGAAAAACATCTACTGTTCTCTGCTCTCTGTTTCTTGTCACTCAGTCAATTTAGTATTGAATTTGCTACTTTCCCTTCTTTCCATGAGCTATAGCTTTACCCACAAGTCCACTATGCAGCACTTTATCAAATGCCTTTTGAAAGTCGATATGCACCACATCACCATTGTCCTTTATGAACACAGTCTGGTCTCTCTTTGCAAAAGCTGCAGCTTTCTTTAATTAGCTTGCTTTTTTTTCTAGATGAACATCATGTCCTCAACGAATGATTGATTGTTTCTGGAAGTTTCCCTATCACTGACTAAACTGACTAACCCATATTAGTTATATCAAAGTCGGCGCAAGCGAACGCCAAGAAAGATCTGAAATATAGCCCGGTCCAATCCTGGAGCTGGGTGCCTGTCCTTCTAGCAGATTCCAATGATATATGTTGGAATTGTCCTTGTACCGATTTTCAACAAGGGAATATTGCTTGAAATTTTCCAGTCCTCTGAACCCACCGAGGTCAAAGGAAGAGTGGAAAGTTAGGACTAATATTCTTTCAATTTCCACTACCAATTCATCCCAGTACCTGGATATATTTCATCTGATCCTTATCCTCCACTTTCAACATGGCGTGGGTAGAATAATCTTCCCTGGTGAAGACTAATGCGAAGTATTAATGTAGCACCTGCATTATGCCCTCTGCTTTTGTGCACAAATAATTGAGCTTCTATTTTTATAACCTTTTTACTGTAGACACTTGGATTCTCTTTTGTGTTAGATGCCTGTACCCTCCCATTCACCTCTCTTCATCTCTTATTTGCTTTTTACTTGTCCTGCACCCCCCCCCCACTCCCCCAAATGCTTCCCATATTCAGCCTAGTTCCTAATTGTATTTTCTACCTAACACCTGTTACTATTGCATTTTTCTTTCTGATCCCTTTTTGCCATTCAGTAACCTCTAGTTTTTATGTCCTAAATTTCCCTTTCAAGGAAATAGGCGTTTGCTGTGCCGAGCTATCTCTCATTTGAAGATAAGCCGTTATTCAGCTATTGTTTCTCCTGTCAACTTTTGGCTCCCAATTTATTTGGCCAAGAGCCATTCTTGCCCCATTGAAGTTGCCTTTCAGTGGTCAATTATTTTTACTTTGGATTGTTCTTTGTCCTTCTTCAAGCCTAATCCTTATGACACTGCTCACTGTCTGATCACTGTTCTCTTACTGACATTTGATCAGTTTGGCTCACTTCATTTTCAAAAACCAGATGTAGCAGTATCTTCTTTCTTATTGGACTGAAATCAGATTGTTGTCAAACTTTTCTGAATGCACTGGGAACTCTCGTTGCTCTGTGACTATTATACCGCTACTAACTTAGTCTATATTTTGATAATTAAAGTCACTGTTATGATTACTCCTGTGCTGCTATATACTTGGCTCCGGCAAATGAATCGTCATACGTCAGTATTCAGAACTGAATACTGGTTGGAGAGCGGTACGCATTCACAAATCTCCTGCACTACCTGTCTGTTTCTTTTTGACTGTTGGTTATCCATTCCCTCCCTCCCTGCATACTGTTAAGCTGCTGATGCTGCTCAAGCAACTGCAACTAATTACACTACTCGCACAACTGGTTATCTGGAACACATGAAGTGTCCTGGAGTTCTCTCGTAGTGTGGAATGTGCACCCGAGAGGTTGGAACATGCCTGTGATTTTTCTGCTGATTAATAACTTTGCTACTGCTAATAAGTGTTGCTGCTTCTACTAAACTGTATCAGTACTAAAAAGCCTCACAACTGCTGATTAAACTCTTATAACACTCAATACGCGTATTGGTTGTAATAAATCTTACATTTAAAAAAGACTCACCAGTCTATTTCCTAATTTAGACAAGATAAATAAAAAACACCAGTTAATTACCCAGTAGCTTCTCTGTGGTGTCATGTTTGATTTTTCTTTCCACATTTAGGCTCTGAATTCACTCACTGATTTCTGGTGTATAGCTGCTTCAAAATGTTCTTGAACTTCCTGTCATAGTCACGGTGAACTCTCCCTATCCTGAGCTAATGCATGTTCCACTTTGTTCTCACTCTTTTCAGCCCGTCTCATAGTGAGCATGCTCGCCCTCTTCTGACTTACGCCCTTCTATGTTATTGCTCTTCCCTGCTGACTTTACAATAAACTGTCATGCTTTCCTGTGCTGCTTTATACTTTGCTGTGATCAATCTTTCCCACCGTTTTCAGTTTGTTTTAGATGCAGAAAATTTTATGAAACAACATAGATATGCCTGGCCTGAAGCGGTTGCATATCATTAATTCTGATCTGTTTCCATTTCTAGTTGTGGGACATTCGAAGAAAAGGTTGTGTAATGACCTACAAGGTGAGAGAAAGAAATGATTTAATCAAATCGATAATATAGCAGTGTTCCTTTAGGTGAAAAAATCTATGATAAATTTAACCTGAATAAAGTACTACATTGAGAGTTAGTCAGTGAAGTCATGTCCATAAGGGAAAGAGATTGGAATGGCTATGAATATTCAATGATCTCCTGTGAATGTGTAATATTCTATTTATATGTAGATTAATTATATCCAAAGAATAAAAATGACTATACAGATGGTCATTTTCAGTTGTTCGGAATGGTGGGTGGGTTAAAAGACTTATTCTGCTGGTTAGTTGCGCAAACGTGTTGGTTGAGCCCAGGTAGCACACTGACTGCTACAGACAGCCAAAGATGCTTGTTGTTTTATACGCTTTGCCAATATTTGGGATGTAAAGCCTACAAACCTTGATCAGCACTTGTATTCAACACTATTCATTTGTGTGGCATGCAGAAAATCTCTTCGGCTTGATGGTAGCATCCTATTAGTGGAGAATACCACTCATTTGTTTACTTTAAAGTAGTAAAGCCAGCTACCTTTACCTATAGTTTAAATTTCTGAAGCACCTTCTCTTCCAGGTAATCTGAAGTAGACTGGGCCTATTTCAGGCCCAAACATAGAAGCCTTAGTCCCTTCAATCAGAGTAGACTGCAAAATGATATTGAATGTACTCCATTTAAAATTTTCTTCATTCTGTGTAGGGTCACACAAATGCTGTGCGTTGTTTAAGATTCAGTCCTGATGGGCGGTGGATTGCTGCTGCTGGGGATGATAGCACAGTCAAGGTACTTTTATAGAGAACATTACAGAAGTGTTTGGTAATATCACTTTTGGTGTAACTGCAGCATCCGTAAATTATTGGCTTATTGCATTTAGCTGAATAATTTATGTAACAACTTCAAGAAACTTCTGTGTAATTTATGGATGACTTCCTTTTTAATTGCCCTGCTGTTCGGTAAAGCAAAGATTTTAAAAATTGAAATTGATATAACTTGAAATTCTCAGCATAAGCTCCTTTCAGTGGCAAATTATAAATTAAAATGGTATCTGCTAAGTGATTGTTATATTGAGATGACAATTCCAAACAAGAATGTGGCAGACGTTGATAATGACCTTTTTCTTTAAAGACACCAACATTTTCTTCATGCCCAATTCCTGAATTTAAAGGGAACATTAAAGATGGCAATTGTAAATTTGCATTATTCTAAAATGCCTGCCTACATTATATATTTTTGGTAAATACTAGTAAGGATTTTTCAGAAATAAGAACACTGTCTTGAACTTTCCCTTCCCCTGTGTGTGGTGCAGTCAGTGGCAGTGCAGAGGGAGTTTTTATCTATATTCCCCAATGTGTGTGCTTTGGACATGTTAGCTGCTTACACTTAATACCTAGGTGGAAAAATTTATCAGTGTTGAAAACATTTGTCTAGAGCGGTTTTTTTTTTTGTATCCATTAATGTTATATTTATACGTTCAGGAAATGAACGTACATCGATGTCTTTGGTTTTACAGTGACTGAGTCCATTGAAGTTAAAGGTAGCCATGGATTTAAAAGCTTTAATTCCCAAATAGGTTTGCTTCTTACCATTGAAAAACAATAGTAATGAAATTTATCTGGCTTGTGCCTAAACCCACAAAAGTGGAAGGAATTACTATCTATGTATTTTCCTTTTTTTAAAATATATTCAGCTGTGGGATTTGTCAGCGGCAAAAATTCTAACAGAGTTCACAGATCACACTGGACCTGTAAACATTGTGGAGTTTCACCCCAATGAGTATCTGCTGGCTTCAGGAAGCTCTGACAGGTCAGAACAATTGCTGCTTTGAGATCAATTTATTGTGCCTACAATTTGGATCAACAACAATGGGATTTAATTTTGAATCCTCCAGCTTCCTAAACATTTGTAAAATGTGCTAATTCATGATGATAGTGATAAATTATTTTGAAAGCAACATTCAATCTATTTAAATTGAACTAACTGTTGCCAAAAATTTAAGAAGTTCGGGTATAGCTTTGTGCATGCTAAGTTTAAAATGTATCTTATCAAAACTTGATATCTTTTGAAGGTAGAAAGACAAAAGGTACAGAGTTGTGATCAGCAAATGACTGAATTCAAGCCTTTAGAAAGCTTCTGTTTATCTCCCATTGACTGATTTACTTCTCATACCTTATTCTGTCTTAGATGTTCTCTGTATGTAAATGTCAGCTGCATCTCTGTTAGGACTGTCACCTCCTCCCGAGTAAGAAGATCATTGGTTTGATTCCAGTCATAAAATATAGTGTAGTGTTGTTGCAATGTTGCACGTGTCATGTTCAAGACCAAGATATTAAGCTAAAGCTGTGTGTAACCTGTCAGGTGGACAAAGACCAGTTGATACTGTTTTCAAGATAGGCAGTTCTCCTGATGTCTTAGCCAAAGTGTAATTTTCAACTAATATCACCGAAATAGATTATCTTGTCGTAAATATACTAGCGTTTGTGGGACTCATCTGTGCAAAGTGACTGCTATATTTTCTGCATTGCAACAATCTCAACACAAAGTATTTTCATGTCTATGATTTGGGTGGTATATGAATGAAAGCTGCTGTAAATTGGTTTGGAACTTCCTGAGACTTGAAAGATGTGATATAATTTTGTTGGTTTAGAATTGTCTCCAAGAAACCCACTTGATATTCCCTTGATTTCAGATGGTCTTATGAGGAATTTTTCCCTTTTTCTTGCAAATATCTTAATGAAAATAGACTAGCCCAGATTAATCTGGATGATTCATTCATCTTAAAATGAATTAGGGCCCAATTCAGACATCACAACACCAGTGCAAATGGACTTGGCTAGAAAGTTACCAGTGCTGTTGACTCCATTTTAGGTGGAGTATGTAAAGCTCCGAGTTCATCTGTTAGGCAGTGAGCTTCAACTATTTCTTCGCTTACTAAATAATAGAATTTGAATAATTTGTGCCATAGCCATAATCAGTAAGTATTAAATTAAGGCCAATGTTGTAGGAAAGCAAGAAAAAGCATTGCAGAAATAACCTACTAGCTTCTTTCTAACAGCTGTGCTGTAAAATTGAAACCCAAAAATGCATCAAACTTAATTCTCTTGACTCATTAAGTCGAAAGTTAGTTTGCATGTAGATGTGATATTGGTTAGAAAGATAGATTGTACTTTAATTGAAGTCTCACAAGAACTTACTCCATGTTTTCCTGCATATTTTCAGAACGATAAAGTTTTGGGATCTTGAAAAGTTTAAGATGGTGAGCTGCACGGAAGTAGAGAGCACTCCTGTCAGGTATGAGGGGCCATGTTGAGAAGGTTGGTGTATTAACAAATGGCATTTGCAGCTCGATGCCTTCTCCGGGACGGTGAATGCATATATGTTGCAGGAGTTGGGTAGTGGCTGCAAACTCTACTTGGCAGTCACACTTATTTTTGAATGGGTGGTGGTTTTGAGTTTAGAAATGTATATTTTGAAGATGGATAATGTGTCCGTACTACAAATATACCATGAAGGTAGTTTTGGCCTAAGATAAAACAAGATGCTGGAAATATTTAGGTCAGGCAATATCTGTGGAGAAAAAGAGTGAAATGATTCAGGATGCTGACTTTTATGTCAAAAGGTAATTGGACTGAACTAATAGCTGTTTCTGTCTGAGACATTGCTTTACCTGAATAGGTCTGGCATCTTCTGTTTCTGTTTCAATTTTCCATATCTTTAGTAAACAGCTGAATTTTTACACCAGCATATTAAAGCATGAGTTATGGAGTTGACTTTTAAATGGTAATATTTCCAAAGGGTTGATGTTCTAGATTTGAGCCCAAGTAAAATCCAGAAGAAAGATTATTGCAGTGGAATAAAGTAAAAACCACTAACGGTAAATAATAGATGTTAATTATTTTACACTTGTAGCAATGCAAGATACATGCATTTTATGCTTCGTTATTATCCAACTTAAAGGTTTTGAGACTTTGTCAATGCTCAGTTTCATGAGTGTTTATATATTTAAAATGAAATTGAATCATTAACCTCCTAAGGCTAATTGATTGAGAATTTTTCGAACTGTAACAAGGATCAACTTTTACATGGGTAATCGGAAAAATTACATTTTCTTAATCATGGGGTCATGAGATTGATTTACTTTTTTTTCCTTTATGCATTCATTCCATGTGGAAATTGCTGGCAAGATAATCATTTGCTGCCTATCCCTATTTTCCTTTAAGTGGTTGCTAGGCCATTGCCGAGAATCAACCCCTCAGCTGTGGGTCTGGAGTGATGTGTAAGCCAGATGGCAGGTTTCCTTCCATAAAGGACGTGAGTGAATGAGATGGATTTTTACCACCTTGTCTAGCTTTTATGTTCCAAATTTATTGATTGGATTTAAATCTCACCAGCTGTATTGGTGGGATTCCCCAAAGCATTGTGTGGGTCTCTACATTCCTAGTGACATCACCACTATGCCATTGTTTCCCCAATGGTGAGGGAACAGAGTTTATGGCAAGGATTAAAGACAATGGCCTCCGGTTTCTCTATGTTATGTGTAACCAGTCTAATAATTTAACAGTAGTATATGCTGCATGTTGTTGCAGTTTTCGCCTGCTGTTTTTCAGTAAAGAGTTACTTGTTCTGTTGGCTTAAATATATTTCCTTGCTCTTCGCTCTTCACTTCTCCCTTCTTCTGAAGGTAGTGATTCCTGCTCCATGGATTCCAGCATCCTGCCAGGGTCTTGTTCAAGTGATTGCACTCTACCTACATGGCTATTTTTGGTAATCTGTTTTGAGGGTAGACTGCTCCTATCCTCCCATCATATTTGTACACATGAACTTTCCTGTGGGGCTTTGTGCTTATGATTGGGAATCCTTGTTGATCTCCCCACCCCCCCAACTCCCTCCAGCCCAGGGCCAAGTAAGTCATTGCTATATCTTCCCTTTGCACCAGCTGAGAAAAAGTAATTTAGTTTACGTTCAACCTCCAACCTTCCAGACTTGTGTGACCGAGTGTGATAGATGAAAGTATGCTTTAGTATAGGGTGCCCTCTTCTGTTGGTCGAGTATCAGTTTTAAACAACGCGTCCTTTCTGATTAATTAGAGGAAATAGAATAAATTGTAACATTTGCCATACCTTTCAGTACAATGTCATGAAATTGATCCAGCTTTGAAATGATTAGATGGATTGAAATGAGTTTTAGTTGAAGAAACTGTTCTGCAGCTAATATCTTTTCTTTTCTCATTCTCTTTTCTTTTAAGGTGCATCTTATTCAACCCAGATGGGTGTTGTCTCTATAGTGGTTCTCAGGATTCTTTGCATGTTTACGGCTGGGAACCTCCCCGCTGTTTTGATGTACTGCCAGTTAATTGGGGTAGAGCAGCAGACCTTGCCATCTGTTCCAATCAATTGGTATGTACAGTGGGAACTGCCTAGAGAAACCTTAATCCTTAAGTGATGAAATTTCTTACGAGAAATAAATATCGGTGTATGTTGGTGTTAATCAGAATTATGATGCCAAGAGGAAATTCTACAGCTGTGAAAGTAAGAAAGAAATGTAACAGATGAATAATAGAAGTATTAATATTTAAATATAGAAGCAATTCTCTGGATTACAAACTACTTGAGCCTTAGTGTTCAGTTTGTATATATGTTCTCATGGGAAATCCTTCAGATACTCTGGCCCCAAAGTTCCTCCCTTAATAACAACAACTTGTTAATGTGTACTACCTTTCTCTAATAAAACATTCCAATGCATGCCTAGTGACGCTGAGAGACACAACTAGATTTTCAAACAGATGATCAAAAACTTAGCCAGATAGGAAGGTAAGGAGTCTCTTCAAGGAGAAGTCTGAGGTGCAGAAGTTCAGGGAAGGTATTCCAAAGCTTAGGTCGAGACTGCTGAAAGCAGAGTTACTAGTGGTGGTGTAGGTAAACTCAGGGGTGCGTTATAAAGGCGTACACATTGTTTGGAAGGTTATAGGCAATACAAAGATAAGGAGAGGCAAAGCTGTGGAGTGATTTAGAAATAAGAATGAGAATTTTAAAATCGAGCCATAGTTTAACCAGGAGCCAGCATAGGTCCGTGACCATAGGTGATGGGTGAACATTGTTTGATGTACATTAGGACAATGCTGGTGCATTTTGAATCATCTCTGTTTGCAGAGGATATATTTTGGGAGGCCAGCTAGGATTACCTTCAAATACCTGAATGTGGTGGTAACAAAGGCATGGATGAGGGTTTCACCAGTACAGTAGTTGAGCTGAGGCAAGGGCAGAGACAGATATTGTTAAAGGCAGAAATAACTGGTCTTGGTGACTTGGTCTTGGTCTTGGTAGTGTGATCGAAACATAATTGTAGGGATGAATATCACACTGACGTTGATAAACGTTCTGATTCTTAGTCAGTTGTTATGGAGAGCGTTGCAGTCAGTAGTGGAGTTTATGGTTGGGACCCTGGACAATGGTTTCAGTCTCCCCGGTGTTAGATAAATTTTCTCTCTGATTATATGGTGACAGTGGAGGGATCAAGGTAGGTGATCGTGAGATGGAGCTAGGTGATGTCACTGTACATGAAACGGACATGTTTTGAATGTTGCCAAAGAGCGGCATGTCAGTAAGAAATGGGTGGTTCCAAGAAAGATGATGTAATCCACAGTTTCAGAAACTAAAGATAGGTCGAGAGGAATGAGGAGGAGGATTTATCTTTGTTACAGTCACTTAGGATTTCATTTATGACTTTGATAAAAGCTTTTTGGAACTTAGCTGGAATTGAAACCTTATTTGAGTGATTTAAACATGGGCATTAATTTGGGAGACAAAAAACTTCATGGTTGTTGAAGTGAAAAGCAAGGCTGAAGATGGGGTTATATCTGCAAGAATGCAGGGTTTTCAAGTTTTTTTTTTTAATGAATGTGTTAATGGCAAATTTGAAGGAGTCAAGAAGGGAAATTAAGGGTTGTGTAGTTTCTTGGAAATAAATCCAAGAGGAGGTTGGTCTTATGGGCAGGTGCCAAAAACAAATTCAGAGTTGGGCATGGGGGATCCAAAACTGCAGTTTCACCTGGTGAGCTTGGGCAAGTGACAGATACAGACGATCAGATGGTCTCAATCCTGATGTCAGAAATCCCTGAACATCTGTCACCTGTCATTGGATGTGAGGATGGAGGAGACAGGAGAAAGTGGTTTGAAGGGGATGACTTGCAGGAGAGAAATGAAACCAGTGGTTACCTTTGCATTCCTGGGATGGAAATTTATTTTTGTAGACAAAAGCAAGAGCAAGTAATACCTTGTGGTCCAGCCAAATTTTGAATGGCTGAGCTATTTGTACCTGATATTTATTCATGCCTACATCCTTTGAACTTAAGGATGCAGAGATGAAGGTCATAGCAAGGAAATGGCCATTGTTAGAAAGAGTAATAGTTTTAATGGGCTACAGTAGTAGAGGTTGAGTTGAAGACGTGGCCTGACACAGTTGATCACTGCATCCTTCTTGAAGCCACCAACTTCTCATTGATATGCTGCCTTTCAGCAACATCATCCAAAACATGTCACTGATTATATGGAAACTGACAACGCCCAGCTCTACCTCACCACGACTTGCCTTGATGTCTTCCACTGTCACTGTATTATCAGACTTTTTTTTGATAAAGGGAAGATTGAAAGCATTGTCTTTTATCTTGACTACAGACTCCACTCCCTCACTGTTGATTCAACCCTCTCCCTGTCTGAGGCAGAGTCAAATAGTTCTTCAAGCTTTGCGTGATATTCAATTCCGAAGGTGAGCTTCTACTCTCGTTGCAGTCATCGAAACCACCTCTGTACAGAAAAGTGTCACAATCCACCATCGAACAATCTCTTGGGCAGAGTAAGCATGAGAATGAACAGACCAATCGTGTTTTGTTCCCAGAGGACAATTTGGTGAGAGTTATACATGCAGAAGACTTGAGCCCATTGCAGTGCTTAAGTTTGTTATAAAACACAGGTTCAGCAACATCAGCCTCACGTGAGCAATTGCAATTGGTTTTGGGCACGACACTTTACAAATGAAGTCAACGCGTTCAAGAGGGTGCAGAAAAGAGTCAAGATAATTATTCCAGAGATGAGCTACTTCAGTTACCTAGATTGATTGGAGAAACGGGGGTTGTTCTTCTTGCACAAGGAAACATTAAGAATGGTAAAATCACGTTACTGTAGATGCTAGAAAATTGAAATAAAAACAGAATGTGCAGAGAAACTTAGGTTGACAGGATCTGAGAGAGAAATAGAGTTAACATTTTGAGTTTGATATGATTCTTCATATGAGGAGATTTTATTGAGATATTTAAGATAGGTGGTCAAAGGGAAAAGAGAACCAAAGGACAACAATTTGAGGTCATTTGTAAAAGTAACAGTGGTAATGCAGGGAATTTTTTTTCCACAGAGAAGTGTTGAGATCTGGAATATAATAGAGGCTGATTCAATAGTTCCATTCAAGAGGAAGGGTTTGGAGGCCCAGGGGGAAAAGGCAAGTGAGTGACACGAGGTGAATTGCATTTGCAAATAGGGACTGAAAGGTCCAGCCTTTCCTTTGATAAATAAGTGGGCAAGGTTTTGTGACATGTGACAGAGGCACGTGAGGAACTGTAGAGTACCTAGTAGATACTATTGTCATGTGGATGTCCAGGATGTATTAGGCATTAACCTCAATGAAACTTCCCTGGTCCTTCATGTTCTGTTACAATGCCTCAGGTAGTTTAGATATTGAGAGGGTCTTGAGCAAAAAAAATCAAGATCCCTCCTCTACAGTTTACTGCACAAGTTCTATTCCAATTAATTTGATGTTTTGTTTACATAATAGATTGGAGCTTCATTCAGTCAGGTGACTGTCTCGACATTTGTAGTGGATCTGAATCGTGTGAAGAAGACTGGTTCTATTATCCAAGGTGTAGTTGAGGATGAAAAGCTGTACAATCTACCGGTGACAAAAGGAGCTGTGCTCAGACGCAACTATGAGAGGCCACTAACTACCTGCAGTAGGCCACAAAGGTACAACTACTTTTTGTTCATTTGAGAGGAAAGTGTGATCGCAGATCATTGCAACTCCAGATTGTTCATTTCTAGGCTTCCTTTTCTTGTTGCCTTATCTGCTGTTCCTATACACTTGTGTTTTACTGGTCAATGGCTTAGTTTTGTACAAGTTCTTTTAAAAACCAAAAGAGCACTTTTGTGAGCCTTAAAGAAAAGTGCATCTGCTTTGCACATGTGTTTCTGCTTTTCTTGCAAGTCCCTTTATATTGAGCATTTCAGAAATAGTTCTGTGACTGACAACATTTTCATTGTCACAATTTTGTCTTTTATTTTGAGGTTGGAGTAGCATCTGAACCATACTACAAGCAGGTTAATTTTGCCTTCAGTTCAGCACTTACCCAGCAGCTGTATCTTGTGGGTTAATCCTGTTAATTGTGGTGTACCACTCCTTTATAATTACTCTGCAATTTCTACATCTAGAAGTCACTTGCTATGGTATGCACTTGTTTATTTTTGGAAGTTGCAACACACCAAGAGGTCATTGGACCTAACTAGTCAGTGTTGGGGATAAACAGTGACATGAACAAGTTTTGATCCCTTGTGCCTAACCTGTTATCGTACCCCATTATTCTTATTTTCTTTAACCACTTATCCAGTTACTAACTGTTCGTCAATCTGCAGCCTGGCATCATTTTATTTTTTAATAAAGTTTACTTTCTTTGTCCTAACTCTCTCATTTAAGCTAATCTATGTTTTATTGTATTGCATTTCAACAAAATATGCTTTATTGATTTGATTTTTGCTGTGGTAGTTTCTTATATACAAATATTTTATTTTCCCGCAACATAATGCGTCCAGAACTAACCTTTGCACTCATTGACCCTAAACAAAATCTACCTGAGACTCTGCCTATATTATGGAGAAATCTATTGGCCGAACATAGAATGTTAAGCCATTTCTATGACTTACACCAATATAGAGAAAATTGTTGGCTGTGCCCGTAGGCTTCACCCCATTAAGGACTTCAGTTTACTTTCAACCACTATTTCACAAATGGATCTGTAACTGATTTGGTACAAAGTACCTTAAAATGATTTCTACGAGCTGCAAGGGCTTTGCACAATTCACGGGAGCACATTATGCAAGTTTTGTATTATAAAATAAAAAAAACTGCAAAGGGAAATCTGAAACAAATGAAAACAAAAATTGCTGGAGAAACTCAGGTCTGGTAGCATCTGTTGGAGAGAAAACAAAAGTAATGTCTCGCGTCTAGTGATCCTTATTCACAACTTTATGTAGTGATATTTCATTTTACTACAAGTGGGGCAAGAAATATCTATGAACATAGATATGGGCATACGAATTAGGAGCACGGGTAGGCCACTGTAGCTAATCTGGTTACTTCATGTTCCTGCCTACCACTGATAACCTTTTGCTTCCCTGCTGTCTATATCTGCCTTAAAAACTTCGAAGACGTGCTTCCTCGGTGGAAGCAGAGTTACAAAAACTCATGACCCAAAGAGGGGGGAAAAAACTTAAATCCTTTTTTTTCAACAATGATCTGCTAGATTCACCCACAAGCGTACTATATATATTTAGCCTGCCATGACAGCTCAGAATCTTCTGTTTCAATCAACTCACCCTGTTACACTTTTGAACTCCAACAGGTATAAGTGTAGTATATCCAACTTTTCCTCAAAAGTCAACACACCCATTATAGGTATTAGTCCAGTAAACCTTCTTTGAACTGCTTTCAATGTATTTACATCTCGTTAAAAAAGGAGAACAATCTCGAACAACGACGAGACAGTACGGGAAGGAAATGGAGAGCTTAGTAGTATGGTATAAAGACGACAATCTCTCCCTCAATGTCAGGAAAATGAAGGAGCTGGTAATTGACTTCAGGAAGGAGTGGTGGACATGCCCCTGTCTCTATCAATGGGGCTGAGGTGGAGGTGGCTAAGAGCTTCAATTTCCTTGGAATAAATATCACCAACAATCTGTCCTGGTCCATCCATGTCAACACTACAGTCAAGAAAGCACACCAATGCCTCTACTTCCTCAGAATGCTCAGGAAATTTGGCATGTCCACAGTGTCTTAATTTTTATAGAGCACCATGCAAACATCCTATCTGGATGCACGACAGATTGGTATGGCAACTGCTTTGCCCAAGACCGCAAGAAATTAGAGTTGTGAACACGGACTAGTCCATCATGAAAACCAGCTTTCTTCCATTGACTGTCTGCACTTCCCACTGCCTCAAGAAGGCAACCAACATAATCAAAGACTTCTCCCACCCTTGTTATATTCTCTTCCACGCTCTTCTATATGGCAGAGGATACAAATGTTTGAAAACACATACCAACAGATTCAAGAACAGCTTCTTCCTTGTTGTTATCAGACTTTTGAGCAGATGAGAGTTGATCTTACTCTGTACCTTCTCTGTAGCTGTAATACTATATTCTGCATTCTGTTCTATTACCCTGATATAATTATGTAAGGTATGATTTATCTGGATAGCGCACACATTACTTTTCACTTTATTTTGGTACATGTGACAATAATAAATCAAATCACGTCAATACTATACACCAGGGACTCCAAACGTGGTCTCACAGTGCTCTGTCTAACTGAAGCGTAGGTTTGCTGAACTAATATCTGGTTTGGGTGGGTTGTCTTTTAAGATACTTTTGTATCAGATTGAAGAAATTAAGTCTGTTCTGGAGAACAGAAGAATGAGAGGTGGAGGTTTTCAGAATCATGAACAAGTTGGATAGAGTAGACGAGGAGAAGTTACCACTTCCAAAAGGAAGAATAACAACTCTGTATAGATTGAAAGTGATATGGCACAGAAGTAAGAAAAAGCTATTTCTCTCAGTCAGTAGTTAGGGGATGGAATGCACTGCCTCGAAATTTTGTTGAGGTAGGCTCAGTTGTGGCATTCAAGAGAACATTGGATGATTATTTTGATAGAAATAGTGTACAAAGGTATGGGACAAAAGCAAAAGATTTGTTCTTGGTCATGGTGCTTGTTTGAAGAGCAGGCACAATAGGATAATAGGCTTCCTTCTGCACCATAGTAATTCTATGATTCTGTATTCAATCCCCCTCAGAATAATCAATAGTATTCTATTAGCTCTCCTAATTACTTGCAGTACCTGCATACCAATTTTTTTGCAATTCATGCAGTAGGAAATCCACATCCCATTGCAATATCTCACCTTTTAGATAAGTTTTCTTTATTCTTCCGGCCAATGGACATTTGCACACTTTCCCACATTATACTCCATTTGCCAGACCTTCCACTCATTTAACGTATCTATATGTCCTCTTCACAACTTGCTTTATTACTTATCTTTGAGTCATCAAATTTAGCAACTTTATCTTTGATCCCTCCATCAAAGTAGCTTATATAAATTGTTTAAAAAAGGGACCCAGCACTGATCCCTGTGAAACACAACCCATTGCATCTTGCAAAGCAGAAGCTAACACATCTATACGTACGCTGTTTCGTGTTAGCTAGCTTTGCTGTAATGTCCTTAGCAATAGCTTCCAATATTTTTCCTATGATGGATGTTAAGCTATCTGACCTGTGATTTTCCGTTTTCTGTCAAGCTTCCCTTTTTGAATGAAGGAATTATATTTGCTAATTTTCAATTTAATGCAGACTTCCCTGAATTTAGGAAATAGTAGAAAATTAAAATTAATACATTGACTGTCTCAATAGCCATTTATTTTAAGAGTCTGGTGTTGGGAATACAAATATTTCTGGACAACATGAAGAACTGGAACATATCGTTGGGACATTTTCAGGAATAGAAAGGGTAGATTGCCTCTAATTGTTGGCATACCTGTCTATGTGCTATTGGTTGCCTAGCAACCCTTGCTGGTTTGACTTCTGCCTGAGTCATCAACAGATTTAGAGAAGGAGAACTGAAGGGAAGGCTTGGAAGGTTGCTGGATCTTTCTCTTTCTCACCTCAGTATTTTTCACTTCTCTGCAAGCTTTGAGAGGCTGAGTTGTGATCACCTTCCAAAAATTTTGAACTAGCTTGATTTTCAGTCAAACTGAAACTGGCTAGATTTTTCTCATCTATTTTTTTTCTCTCCTTATTTATCTTTTAGTCATTATTTACCTTTTTGAATTCTGTCTACCCTTGTGACCTACCACCCATCCTAGCACAAAATGTGTTTTTTCTTTTGAGTATGATGCAGTCTTTAACCTTTTTAGGTCAACATGGTCCTAGAAGTTTTCTTTCTCTTTGGACTTTATCTATTTGTGTGTTCTGAAATGTCCTCTTAAATATGTGCCACTGTATTTCCATTGACCTGTCCCTTAATCTAATTTGCTAATTCACTTTATCTAGCTCTACTTTCATGTACTGTTGAGTTTAGAATGCTAGTTTTGGAGCCATTCTTCCCTTCCTCTCACTGAATGTGAAATTCAATCTCATTATGATCGCTGCTACCTATGTATGTTTTTAGTGAGGTCATTAACCAATGATACCTTGTTGGACAATGCTGAGTCTGCTTTCTGGTTAGCTCCTAAATGTACTGTTCTAAGAAGCTGTCCCCACACAATCTGTGAACATCTCATATCAGTTGCCTTTGCTGACCTGTTTTGCCCATTCCTCATGGTTATCACCGTACCTTTTTGACAGGTCCCATTACTTCTTCCTTTATCCTCTATCCTCTTGCATAATCACTGTTATGGGAGACAAATGATTTCTACTTGCTAATTTCTCATTTCTCATTTCTCATTTCTACCAAAATGACTTCTACAACCAAGTTTTCTGACCCTGGGCCATCCCTTGCTAATGGGCTGGTATTCTTACCAATTAACAGACCACCCCCCCCCCCCCCCCACTGCCCAAAAATATCAGATTGTACTTAGTTATTTCTGTTTGCGCTGTCAGTTCATCAGTTTTGCTTTGAATGCTGCATACATTCAGATACTGAACATTTATTTTCTCCTTTCTGTTAATTTTTTAACCTTTACCTTATCTGTTGATCTACTCTTAGATTTGTACTGTCTTTTCCAGTCTCAGTCTGTTCATTAGTTCCCATATTAATACAGTTCTCTCTTGCCTTGTCTCTACTCTTTGATTTATTCTTTGTCTGTGGTCTTATTGTATGAGAAAGATAATATGCCAACATTGTATACTCAACTGAAGTCCTACTTTAACCACTGGAAGATTTTGATCATTTTAAATCACTGGGGCAACAGACTCATTTGACTTAATGGACCATTTGGTGTCAAGTTGTCATGGACAATGGACCAAATACTTTGGGGTAAAATGCTCACTGGTTATTTTAGGAGCTTGCTTCAGCTGGTCTAATTTTAGCTATTTTCCCCGCTCTGTCCTCCATAAACAAGTGGAAACTATTTTGTCTCTATAGTAAAGTGAAGGAGGAGCCAGAAAGTGAAGGGCGCATTCCAAGTGGGGAAGAGGATAAGGATGACAAAGAATCAACAGCAGAAATTCGAAACCCGGAAGAATACAAGGAGATCTTCCAACCACAAAATGCCATTGGTCAGTATGAATCCATTTTATCTGTTTCTGAATATATTGATTAATACATAAAATATTTTATGCATTTATTTCAACCAGTCCAGTGAATAACTAATATTGAGGACATGAGGATTTGTGGAATCTGCCTGTTTTCTGAAAAGTTGACATATCTGGGAGACCATTGTTGCCGAAACATTTTCTCTCAAGGTCACCTGTCGATTTACTCGCCTTATCTGTTTAAAAAATTATGATATTTTCATAGAGATCATGGAAGGTCTCTGACAAAGAAGACCATTGGCACGTTGTGTGTTTGGATGCATGTATGCTCTTTGATAAAGAGCTACCCAGCCTAATCCTATTTCCCTGCTGTGTAGCTATGTCATTTTGTATGTCATTATTTTTCAGTTGGACATGAAGTATTCTAAAATATGATGAGAGTTTATTCTTTAATCACCTATTCAGGCAGTCATATTGAGGTCCCTACCATCCTCTTAGTCAAAAAGGTTTCCTCATTTTCCCCCTTAATTCTTTACCACTTACGTTAAATCTATGTCCCAAGGGAAGTAACCCTAGCTTATCCAATTTTTCTTCCATATGTAAAATTTTCCAGTCCTTGATTACATTCTTATAAATATTCTCTGTACTTTATGGAAAAGATGTGATCTCACTATAATGTGGTGATCAGAATTGAATTTAGTACGTGCAAGATGAGGTCTAATTGGTGTTGTAAACAATTCTTGCTCAAGCTCCTCACTCTTATATTCAGTGCCTTGGCTAATAAAGACAAAGGAAGACATACACTTACTTAACACACGATCTGTTGTGCTACCTTTCAGAATCTTGGAGATACATTTCAAGGTGCTTTTTGTTTTTTCATACTGTTCAGGATCTTTCCATTTATTGTGTATTCCTTACCTAGTTACACCTCCAAAGTGCTTACCTCTAACTTAACTGAATTGAATTCCACACTCTGTCCAACTAATCAGCATGTCTAAAGTGTTCCTCCTCACTATCAACTGAGCAGTCAATTTTTGTATCATCTGTAAACTACTTAAGCTAGTCCCTAAAGCTGAGTCTGAATCATGAACGTAAACTACAAACTGCAAGGAACTGAGTAATGAACCCTGAGGAATCCCACTGGGTAACAGTTTCTTGTCTCAAAGCACCTGACAGCCAAGTACTCTTTGCTTCTTGTTACTAAGCCAATTTTGGATCCAATTTAACACTCTTCCTCGGATCTTTAACTTGTTTGACCAGCCCATGTGAGACCTTGTCAAGATCCTTGTTAAAATTCATGTAGGTTATATCTACCACATTATCATTGTCAGCGCCACATGTCGCTTCAAAAAAATGTAATCGGATTGGTCAGCCATGAGCTTACTTTGACAAATCCTGAGTGCCTGAATTAGTCTATGCCTTTCTTTTAAACAGCTTGTAATTGTCTTTCAGAATTGTTTCCTATAATTATAGAGTCATACAGCACAGAAACAGATCTTTTGGCCTAACTCATCCACACCAGAGTTAAACAAACTGACCTTGTACTGGAATTATCTCTTCTTTCCTTTTTAAACTACAGTACAACCTCCAATTTATTGACATCACACTTCTAGTCGGGGGGAATTGAAATATGAAGACTAGAGCCTCTACAATTTCTTTCTCTCTTTTTAAATACCTGGGATCTACTTAATTTGGAACAAAAACAGAAATTGCTAGAGAAACTCAGCAGGTCTGGCAGCATCTGTGAGCAGCTGAAGAAGTTCTCAAAAAGGGTCTCTGGACCTGAAATGTTAATTCTGCTTTCTCTCCACAGATGCTGCCAGTTTTTTTTTTAAAGTGCCTAAATATGTTGATGATGGTACTGCAGTTTGATATGATTTACATGGACATGAGTAAGGCATTTGACAAGGTCCCACATGAAAGGCTAATCTAAAAGGTTAGAACCCATGGGATCCAAGATATATAGACAAACTGAATCCAAAATTGGCTTACCAATAGGAGGCAAAAGGTGGTGATGGAGGTAATTGGAAGCCTATGATCAACGGTGTATCTCAGAGATCAGTGCTGGGACTCTTGCTGTTTGTAATGTACATTAACGACTTGGATAGTCGTTAATAGAAAGTATAATTATTAAGTTTGCAGATGACATGAAAGTTGGTGGTTTTGTTAATAAGGAGGCTGGTCTCAGGCTTTAGTCTAATATTGATCAGCTGGTAAATGGGGCAGAGCAATGGTAGATAGTATTTAATTCTGATAAATGCAAGATGATGCATTTTGGGAGGTCTAATAAGGAAAGGATATACGCAATGAATGTTGCGTCCCTATGCAGTACTGAGGATCAAAGGGACCTTGGTGTACAAGTCCATAGATTCCTGAAGTTGTCAGCGCAGATAGACAGGTCGGTGAAGAAGGCATATGGGATGCTTCCCTTCATTAGCTGGGTAATTGGATATAGGAACAAGGAAGCGTGGTTACAAAATGTACAAAACATTGGTTAGGCACAGATGGAATACTGTGTGCAAGTCTGGTTGCCATAGCAACCAGAAGCACATGATTGTACTGGAGAAGGTGCAGAGAAGATACAGGATGTTGTCTGGGATGAAAGTCTGTTACAAGGAGAGTTTGGAAAGATTTGGTTTGTTTACCTTGGAGCAGAAGATTGGGGGCTGGTTTGGGGGCGGGAGGGGGCTACGTGGGTCTGATTGGAGATGTACAAAATTATGAGTGACGTAGACAAAGTAGATCGTGAGAATCTCTTCCCCATAGCAGACATGTCTAAGACCAAAGGGCATAAGTTAAAGGTGAGGAACAAGAGGTTTAGAGGAGATCTGGGGAAATTTTTTTTTACTCAGAGGGTGATAGATAAATGGAACATGCTGCTGAAGAGTGTGGTGGAAGCAGATACTCTCAGAACATTTAAGAAGCATCTGGAGGAGTACTTAAAATGTCAGGGCATGGTAGCTTAAGAACTAAGTGCAGGTAAATGGGATTAGTGTGGTTTGCTGTTTGTTGGTCTGCAGTGACATGGTGAGCTAAAGGGTCTATTTATCTTTTGTATACTTTTTTTTTTCCTCAATAACTCTGTGACATACTTGTTGACTTTCTTCAGCAATATCTGTTTTTGTTTCAGATTTCCAGCATCTGCAATTCTTTGTTAATTTAATCAACTTCATTTGGATCCTGCAATTTATTTATTTTCAAAGACATTAAATCCTTTTAATATTTTCTCTCTAACAATATTCATCCAATCGATATTTTACACTCTTTCTCCATAAATGTGGCACTGTTGTCATGCATCTGTTTTGTAAGGACAGCAGCAAAGTATTCATGAAGTATTTTGTCTACATTCTCCATCTTCACTCACCGGATATCTTTTTAGTCCGCAACAGGCCCTCCTCATTCCTTGTTATCTTCTTGCTGTCTGTGTTCTTCTAAAACACCTTTTGGATTTTCCTTTATTGGCCTGTATTTTTAATACCGTCTTTTTCTTTCGCTTTCACTGTCACCCCTACATTTTATGTATTCTTCTCGGCTATCTGGAGTACTAAGCTCTTGTCTGATGTGAGCTGCCCCTTTTTGCCTTATCTAGCACCCAGTCTTGTTATCCAGCTCTAGATTTGGCTATTCCATCTGTTTTCTTTGTGAGAACATGTTTACCCTGAAACTTTTTAAATCTCCTTCTCCAATGTCTCTCATTGATGTAATACAGATTTATCTTCAATAAGCTGTTTCCAGTCCACTTTTGCTAAATAAGTTCTCAGTCTATTTGAATTGGCCCTTGTCCAATTGAAAACCTTTACTCCAATTTTACCTGTGTCTTTTTTCAGAAGTATGGTAAATTTAACTCTTCACTACCACAGTGTTTTCCCACTTGATTTTTTTTCATGTTCCTAGCTTTATTCTTTAAAGATAAATCCAGACTTTTTCTCACCAAACCCACTTTTTTGGGTTTGCTGAAAGTCCTTATGAATGCTTTGTAGAAATTCTGCATCCTTTTTGTTTTTTTTTTAAAGTGGCTATCTCAGTTAATATTAAAGCAACTGAAATCCCTTGCTGCTACTCCCTGTTTTGGCATTTGTCAAATGTGCCTTCAAATAGACTGTTCCATTTCCCTTGGACTGTTCAGAGACTTGTTATACACCTTTAGAAGTGTTGCATTTTTATTTCTTTCTTCAGCCAATATGGCGTAATTTGATGATCCTTCTGCCATATCATCCACTCTCACAGTATAACTGTCACTTTAGTCAACATTATCACCCTAATACTTCTTCATCGCCCTACCTCATGTATAAGCCATATAACCATATGCATTAAATGCTATTCCTGACTCTCCAATCCATGTTTGCAAAACAAAACCTTTGCATATTGATCTGTGCCATCAGCTTATCACTATACTGATGCCTTTAGGTATTTATCATTAAAGTCAAGCAAGCTCTCTTAGTCTATTTTCCAACCTTTGCTCTACTTTTCCAAGTACTTTAGATAATATTCTGCCTTCCACTTCCAGTTTTGCCTTTCTCCCTCTGAATCACTGCTTCCCTGCCCAAGCCTCTGTCGTTTTATTTTAAATAGTCCCTGACAGATTAGCAAACCTGCCTGTTGAAACCTGTATCTGGCCTATACTTACCCTGCCTTCCTTAGAAACTGTCGCAATGTCCCAGAAATCTGAAGCCTAATGTCTGCACTATCTCTTCAATCATTTTCATCCATCTATTCTGTCTTATTTATGTGTTGTAAGCATCGGGAAGTCCAATATCACAATCTTTTTTTAAAATCTGCTCGCAATATCTTAATCTATTTCCCACCTGTGTTGCTAGTACCAAGATGTATTACTTTGTAACTTCTGTTTGAATTTTAAAGGCCACTGATTTTTCTTTGATCCATAGGGGCATTTGCCAAACACCATTATCAGCTGTTTTCACAGCTTAGCCTGACCATTTGCTGTCTTCTGGACTGAGATTTATTGTCCCTATTCGGACTAATTCTTTTCTTCGATCCATAGGGGCATTGAAATGGGGTTTACTGTTTAGTCCAACAAAACGTCATGAAGTCTTATTTATGAAGTATCTCACAACCTGTATCTGGAGTATAGGAGGTTGAGGGGTGAACTTCTAGAGGTTTCTAAAATCATGAGGGGCACAGATAAGGTGAATATCAAATGTCGTTTCCCTGGGTTAGGAGAATTCAAAACTAGGGGTCATATTTTTACGGTGAGAGGAGAAAGCTGTAAGAGGGAGCCAAGGGGCACCTTTTTGACACAGCGGGTGGGTCGTATGTGGAATGAACTGCCAGTGGAAGTGGTTAATATAGGTGCAGTTACCACATTTAAAGGCATTTAGACAGGTTTCTGAACAGGAAAGGTTTAGAGGTATTTGGACCAAATGTGGGCAAGTTGGACAAGTTAGTTTTGGGGAACTTGGTTGACATGGATGAGTTGGACCGAAGGGTCTGTTTCCGAGCTAAATGACTCTAATAGTCTGTCACGTTGTGTTTTGAAGAAAGGTCACTCGACCTGAAACGTTAACTCTGATTTCTTGCCACAGATGCTTCCAGACCTGCTGAACTTTTCCAGCAATTTTTGTTTTTGTTTCTGATTTACAGCATCCGCAGTTCTTTCGGTTTTTATTTGTATTATTGGTCTGGTTGTGTATTCTAACTAGTCACGTGGCAGCGTACTGCTGTTTATCCAGAGTGATGGGCTACTCATTGAACTAATGTTGTGTAGGAATAAAAACAAAGTTGCTGGAAAAGCTCAACAGGTCTGGCAACATCTGTGAAGGAGAAAACACAGTTAACGTTTCGGGTCTGGTGACCCTTCCTTAGGTTCTGAGGAAGGGTCACTGGACCCGAAACGTTAACTCTGTTTTCTCCTTAGCAGATGCTGCCAGACCTGCTGTGCCTTTCCAGCAACTTTGTTTTTCCTGATTTACAGCATCTGCAGTTCTTTTGGTTGTTGCGTAGGAATAATTGTTTTAGGGGCATGTATTAAAATGTGGGTGGAAGATCAGCAATGTTAAGTTTAAAAGCAGGAAAAAAAATAGTTCTTTAGAATGTGGATCAATTTGAAAACATAACCTGAAATTTTGTTGACTCATTAGTTTGGTTTTGTGACAGCACGAACTCCACCTCGGAGGACTGATCCCTTTCCTGCTCCCCCAGAAGATGGTAAGCCTCTTTTGGAACACTTTTCCTGTGTGTGCATATATGTTGTTTATTCATTTACGGGATGAGGGCGTCGCTGGCTAGGCAGCAGTTAGTGCCCATCCCTAATTGTCCAGAGGGAAGTTTAGAGTCAACACATTGCTGTGGGTCTGGGGTCACATGTAAGCCGGACGAGGTAAGGATGGCAGTTTCCTTCCCTAAAGGACATTAGTGAACCAGATGGGTTTTTCCGACAATCGACAATGGATTCACGGTCATCGTTTGATTCTTAATTCTAGATATTTATTGAATGCAAATTCCACCATGTGCTGTGGCAGGATTCGAACCTGGGTCCCCAGAACGTTATCTGAGTTCCTGGATTAACAGTCCAGCGATAATACCACTAGGCCATTGCCTCCCTCTGTGTCTGTGTCCAACAGCCTCCTCATCGGGGCATGTGGCTTTTTCTGATTTATCTTGATCTAGACTTCAATTCCAAATTAGTAATAGACCACAGGGTGTTCACACGATAACTTTATTTTAGGTCAATTTATCAAGCCGTTTTCATTCTGAATAGAGTTTACTGAGATAACAAGGTGTAGAGCTGGATGAACACAGCAGGCCAAGCAGCATCAGAG